GGCCTGAAAATGGTGGTGGGCTGCTGCCTGGGAATCTCACAGGTAAGTCTGAGAGCCAGACTCTGGTACCCCAGCCCCTCCCTCCCATCCCAGCCCTCTTGTCCCACTCCTACTCCTACCCCCATCTCACATAAGCCAAACGCTCTGTTCCCCTCCTGAGCCCTTACTCCCTCCCAGACCCTGCACCCCTATCCTTGCCCCAGATCACAGTCCCCTCCTGTCCTAGGTCACAACCCAGACCCCTCCACCCTAATCCTCTGCCCTAGGTCACAACCCCAAACCTCTGCAACCCAATCCAGTGCCCAGGTCACAACTTCCTTCTTCACCCAAACTCCCTCCCTGACCTCACAGGCCCTCCTGCACCCAAACCCTTTACCCCAGAGGTGGGCAAGACAGCTTCCATGGGCCAAATCTGGCCCACTAAGCCAATTGATGCAGCCTGCAACTGCTCTGCCACTCTCCTGCCCCTAAGCCAATCGCGACTTGGAGATGGGGAAGCTGGTGTTTTTTTCCAGGTGCTGGCGGGGGTGGAAACAAAGACTTCACATGCTCCCCCTTTCCTCAGGCCAATCAGGCTCTGTGTGTGTGGGAGCAAGGGAAGCCCCCTGGCCTTGTCTCTTCTGCCTGAGGCCCTGCCCCTTCCAGGGCGGTCCGCAACCACTTCCACTTCCCCATCCCCTCAGGAGTACATGGCCCTGCAGGCTGTGTGCAGGTGAACAGGCAGGCTTCTGCCTGAAAAATGTGGTGGGCTGCTGCCTGGGAATCTCACAGTTAAGTCTGAGAGCCAGCCTCTGGTACTCCAGCCCCTCCCTCCCATCCCAGCCCTCCTGTCCCACTCCTACTCCAAATTGAGGGTCTGATTCCACTTACATTGATTGTTTTATATTAGTGTGACTCCACTGTTTTCTGCTTACTTCTGCTTTAAAGAAAGCAAAACTGTACCCTTTAAAGAAACAGTTTGTGATGACATCCAGTTATGGAGGAGATCTAGTGTCAAAATATCACACATGGCTGCTAGCACGGGCTCACGTGCTAGCAGCCACGCCTGACCTCACAGGCCCTCCTGCACCCAAACCCTTTACCCCAGAGGTGGGCAAGACAGCTTCCATGGGCCAAATCTGGCCCACTAAGCCAATTGATGCAGCCTGCAACTGCTCTGCCACTCTCCTGCCCCTAAGCCAATCGCGACTTGGAGATGGGGAAGCTGGTGTTTTTTTCCAGGTGCTGGCGGGGGTGGAAACAAAGACTTCACATGCTCCCCCTTTCCTCAGGCCAATCAGGCTCTGTGTGTGTGGGAGCAAGGGAAGCCCCCTGGCCTTGTCTCTTCTGCCTGAGGCCCTGCCCCTTCCAGGGCGGTCCGCAACCACTTCAGAAATTTGTGAAGTGGTCTCCTTCAAAAATGATTGCCTACTGCAGTAGCATTGAAGCATTCTATTTTAATTTAGACAGGGCTTAAAAAAGCCTACCTTTATCCTGGAGGAAGAGGCAGGGATAAGTCTAAGCAACCTGGAACATCTGATAGCCAAATTGAGGGTCTGATTCCACTTACATTGATTGTTTTATATTAGTGTGACTCCACTGTTTTCTGCTTACTTCTGCTTTAAAGAAAGCAAAACTGTACCCTTTAAAGAAACAGTTTGTGATGACATCCAGTTATGGAGGAGATCTAGTGTCAAAATATCACACATGGCTGCTAGCACGGGCTCACGTGCTAGCAGCCATGGAAAGTTTGAGATACCTACACTAGGCTAATGAACCAAAGCTGAGAGGCTTCAGCCACAAACCCACGCAGTAGTGGGGGCAACCATCAGCAACAGCAGTGGCCACACCATGGCAGTGTTGATTGCCTCACTTGTAACAGCCAGCGGGATACAATCCCGAGTTCCTTCGTACACAGTCCATGTGCTTGGGTTATGTACTGGATAGGAGTTAGTGGGAATTGCTCAGAAAGTCTAAGGGTCTGCTGTGACTCATTACTGGCTTTGGGCCCGGGAATAGGAATGACCCTGTGGTCCAGTGTTTAGGGTGCTCACGTGGGAGGTGAAAGGCCTCCTCCTCCTCTAATCATTCTTCCAGTATTTATCCACGGGGGAACAGCTTCAAAGGAAGCCACTGAGAGAGCCTCACCTCAAAATATCCCAGAGATTAGAGAACTTGCCTGAGGGAGAAGACCCCTGTTCTCGTCCCTTCCCCCACCTCTGTCAGAGAAGGTGGTTGACCCTGGTTTTCTCACACCCAAGTTGAGTGCTCTCTCCACCGGGCTCAAAATTATGAGGTGGTTACCACCGTCTCCTCTTCCCACTGGCTTTTGAATGGGATCAGCTCTGTTGATGGGGGAGGGGGAAAAGAATCAGATGCCCAGGGTCTTGGTGATTTAAAATGGGCTCGGGCTTCAGGCCACCACTGGAGGCATCAGAAGTTTCCTGGGCCCTTTAAATCTCTGCTGGAGCTCGACATGGCATGGTCCAGTTAGTGCTGAGGGAGGTTAGCCTGTAGCTCTGCCCTTTCTGCCCAAGGGCCCCCCTCTTCTGGGGAGCTAGAGCCAACTAGCTCTGCCCAAGGCCCCCCCTCTTCTGGGGAGCTAGAGCCAAGCCCCTTCCTGCCCAATGTCCAGGGCCTGACAGTCTCTCAGCAGCCCTGAATGGACCCAGTCCAGTAGGTATGCTCTGAGTACACCTGCCAGATCAAGTCCTGACTGACTGATAGTTACATGCCTATGTTTCTTGGGGGCATGGATAACTGAGGCTTAGGTGGGAGACAGGTGCCTGGATACCTAGAGGGAGGCAACACTGCTCCTTCCCAAAGGGAAAAAGTTAGGCACCTGAGGCTAGGTACCTTGAAAAACTTAGGTGCTGGATGAGTTTAGGCACCTTCAGTTGGATGGTAGTGAGGCCAAAACTGGAAATTAGGTGCCTAAATATTTTTGTGGATCTCACCTCACATGCTTCTTTGTTATCAGTTGCCTAAGACACCTGCAGTGTTTGAATTCTGATGAAAACAGATGGGACAGAACTCAGTAAAACAGATTTTATATTTTAATTTGTAGTGACACAGTGTGGTGGAATGTTGTCATAATCAGGAGTGGTAACCAGCACCTGTGACTAAGTGGTTAACTAATCCCTCCTAGCCAAGGTATCAGGTGGTCAGCCAATAACAATGCAGGTAGGAATTTCAAACTGGAAGAGAGGGTTTGTTTTCCTTGTTTGGGGATTTGAAAATAATGTCTGAGCTTTCTGAGGGTTATTTTTCCCCCCCTCTCTTGTGACTAAGCCTTCAGCCCAGGGACTTTCCCTGAGTATCTATATCAAATGGTGGCTCTTTCCATCTAGCCAGTTTACTATGCTTGCAACTGTAGTTTTGTTTTGATAATAAACAATTTTCTTTTTTCTAATTAACCGGTACTGGTTGACTTGTGTCCTGGAAGTTTTGTCTGTGTGTATCTGCATGCCTGACTGAGGGGTCAGCTATCAGAGACTTCAGCTTGTTTTTCTCTTTTCTTTTTCAAGCTCTTTAGGTGAAAGGTTGGGGTACCCTTGAGGTTGGTTTCAAATGTCCACCCCTGTTTTTCTCTCTTCTTTTTCAAGCTCTAGAGGTTGGGGTACCCTTGGGGTTGGTTTCAAATGTCCACCCCTGTTTTATTTTGGGGTTAAAAGCACTTGAAGGTGGCAGCGGATTCCCCAAAATCTGGATACTAGGATTTTGGGGGGAAGTTTATACCAGAGCCTGTAGAGGCAAAATTTTGGAGTGCTCTTGCGGGCCCCCAACTTCTGCATAGTTGTGCCAGAGTGGGGAACAGCCTTGACAGATGTTCACACCACACCAGGCCCATACCCGGTTAAGGTGGCTAATGCTGGCCAATTAGCTGCCTTGCCTGCACCTGGAGGAGTAGCCAGGCCCAGGCACCATGAGAAGTAATGAAAGGAGGAAACTCACTTGGATACAAACAACCGGGGCCTGTATGAAGCCAGGTAGCTGAAGGCAAAATGAGGCTGCAGCCTCTCTCCAGGGCAAGAGTGAGAGAGGAGTTTGGCCCTCAGGAAAAGGAATACCTAGAGGAGAGTGGAGAAGAAACCTGAGAGAAGCAATTTAGTGAGAAGTCCAGGGAAACCACAGCAGTCCAGTTCAGTGTGGGGCAGTGCAGCCCTTGGCTGCTTGTTTTGAAGTCCCTGAGATGGAAGGAACCCAAAGATGAGCATGGGCCTAGGTTCCCCTACCAGCCACTGCGAGAGTGGCAGAGGCTGGCCGGGCCCAGCCAGTACAGAGAGACTTCGGTACATATGCTTGTGCCGCCTCCCCTGCCAAGGGGAAAATTGCAGATGTGGCCAGAGGGCCAAGCCCCAAAAAGGGAGACATTAAATCATGACACAGACTGAGCACCAGAAAGAAGAGGCATCAGATTGGCAAAGCTAATCCCCAGAGCCACTGGCAGGAGGTGCTCTAGAGGTGAGTAGAGCATGTTGTGATAGTGCTTATTTACATATGCAGGTTCTTCAGGTGCTAAATGATAAATACCATTCTTATGCAGAAGTGACAAACAGAAAATGGCCGTACCAGGAATGGAATGTTAATTATACAAGGTTTTTTATTTATGAAAAAAGTAATGTGTAGGTTCTATCGTTACATGGCTGTTCCAAACTATGATCCATGCATTACCAAGTTTCTTCTTGGTGATTCAAATGAAGCTTGTGAACCAAAGTTGAGAGAGGATGTGTCCAGATGATCTTTCTGAAGAAGCATTCATCAAGTGAAGAATTTAGAGATTTCTTGTGATGATTCAATTCCTTCATTCAGTTGTGTCTGCTGTGGTTTTGTGTGTGAAACGCTCGACTGTTGCTCTGCAAAGGGGAAAAGAATTTTCGTAAACTTCGTGTCAGTGCAACAAATTAATTTTGGTATGCAAGATAAACCTAATACAAACTGATACATATATACATACCCATTCTTTACAGAAGTTAGGATCCAAATTCAAAACCCCACACTAAAATGCTGAGTGTTCAGATGAGGCTTTATGACATGAAACTAACTCTGGCCAGGTCTACATTACATCCGGTAGTTCAGCTTAAGGTACATAACCCCAGCTACATAGAATACAAAGATGGAATCTGTCTACCTTTTATCCCTTTCTAGCTCAGGAAAGTTTAGGAGTGTTTAGGGTGTGTGGAGTTTTTTTGTTTGTTTTTTTGTTTTTAAAGAATGGTCCTAATTTGATTATGTGGGGTTTTTTTGTTTTTAAAGAATGGTCCTAATTTGATTTAAAAAATGTAATAATTCCTTAAATATTTACTCATGGTGTTTGTTTTTAATGCAGGCCCATTCTGAAAACCTGTTGTCTTTTGTGAGCAATCCCATCTAGGACAGATATTTGTCTGAAGGGTCAGATCTCAACTCTCAAATGCTTGGGGAGGGAGAATAGGGGAAAAAAATCTTCACTACTATCTTCCTTTTATTTTGTTGATGGCCAGCCTTCTCCTTAGCTAAAATACCCTCCCTAGCATGAGATTTTTTTCCTGTTTCTATGATCTGTTCTTCTGCTCATTGTCACATCCTGTACTTACAGATTCCGCTTCCCCCCTCCCCCCAGCATTCCTTTTCTTGAGTTGACTTTTCTTGAGTTTCAGGCTTTTTGTAAAGCAATTGTTTTAAAAGTCTGTCTGTCCGTGAGTCCATTTGTTCAAGAACTCCTAAACAGTAAGAGCTAGGGCCACCAAATTTGGTATAGAGCTTCTTCTTAACCTAATTTACAGCAGGTCAGGCTTTGGTTATTTCAGGAAAACAGGATGTGCCTGGAATCTGATTGTTTTCCATAACATGGAAAGGAAGGAGTAGTCCTGTGCACCTTAGAGACCTAACAAAAATACATATAGTATGAGGTTTCATGGGCAAAACCCACTTCATCAGATGGAAAGGAAGGGGGTTGATAGAGGGACAGTCATCTTGCAGAATGACCTCTGGGGGCAGTGAGTGCAGGGGACAGTTATACTGCAGAGAAACCATATGGGGGTAAGGGAGGGGGCAGAAACAGAGTGGCCATCTGGGGCAAAGGCTATCCATGGTGCCCGCCATTGGCCACAAACCATATGGGGGTGGGGAGGGGGCAGAAACAGAGTGGCTATCTGGGGCAAAGGCTATCCATGGTGCCCGCCATTGGCCACAGGTAAATGATCCTCCTGGCCCAAAAACCCAGCCCTCAGCCACAGCACTGTGGGAGAGGGAGAAGCCCTGCTGGCCACTGGCCCAACTGCCACAGCCCACCCTGGGACCCTGTTTTTTATATATAAAAAGCATGAGAGGGCCTATATTGCTATAGAAATGGTCATTGTGCCTTGGTAAATGCAAGAAGGCGGCCTTAGCCCAGATTCCCATGTGTAACTGAAATGTTGATCTAAGTGTACACTTTAGATTGTAATGCTTGCTTTGTTTACTTGTATTACTGTAGTAACCTCTCCTTAACTCTTTGATGCCCATAAGAGCTAACAGGAAGCTTTTGCTAACTCTTAACTGTAATTCATCTAAGAATTTGCATGTTTGCTAGGGATAAATAGAAAACCCAGGGTAATATTTTCAAAAAGGTCTACATCTTATTGAAAGCCAATAGGATTTAGGTGCCCCATGCACCTAAAAGTAACCAACAGTGCTCCGGATAATCTTTTAAAAATGTGTATTTTATAAGAGATAGTTTGTGGATTTATGTACTCTACCCAAATATTTGACTTCCCTTTTTTGCAGTTACTTTTCCCTTGGCTTAGAACTATAGTAATATATCAAACTCTTGGGAGTAAATATACTACAGATTGACTGACAGTTTCTGGAGCAGGGCCAGAAATAGAAATATAAGTTTGTGTCCAAAAGAGTGGTAGGTGTTTTGCTACTTTTTGGGATCAAGTCTTATCAGCTTTAGTTGCTCCTGCTTATGCATGGAATGAGATTCTCAGCCCTACTCTGGGCCTTTTTGTGCCAGAGAAGCCTGTCAGAAAGGCAAATGGGATTTAAAATCTTCTGAAGCTTTGGGGAATTCCTCCCTGGATGCAGACACTGAGGGGTGGCTCTGGAACACAGCTGGCTGCTCATGTAAGCCCTAATGTAGGGGTTGTGCATGAAGCGGCCAGCTGTGTTCCAGAGCCACCCATGTAAGCCCTAATGTAGGGGTTGTGCATGAGCAGGGCCTCGGCATGTAGGGTGGTGGAAATTCTGAGCAGTGCTGTTACCTATAGACAGCCCAATGGGGCTGCTGCAACTTGCTATTAGTATTATAGTGCCTAGAAGTCCAAGTTATGGACTATGACCTGTTGAGTTGGGCGTCGTACAAACCTGAAAATACAAATCACTGTCCCAAAAGGCTTACTTAGATAATCCCTCCTTCTACCCTAGGCTGTCAATTACACAGGAGGCTGCCTTGCCCCAGGTTTCTGGAACACTCCAGAAGCAGGGGTGCAGGGATTGCATAAAGCTGCCTGAGTAGGTCCTCTGGGCTATGAATTCTGTGATGCACCTCAAAGAACACAGTTTCTCCTAGGGCTGAATTTGGTCCTTTGTAATACTCAGGCCTTCTCATCACTCTCCTTCCTCATGGGTCTGATCATCTGCTGCTCAGCCCCTCAGGAAATTCCTTATATTCAGCAATGCATCCTTGAACATGCCCTCGTGATTGATCCAGGTTAGCCATTCTTACCTTCTTTGGGGAGCACAGTGTAGGTTGTTTCCATGCCACCATGGATATGATCAGTCACATGACAGTGCAGTAACCAGGTGCCAGGGTACTTTGGCAACATTTCTATGGCTTGAAATGTCCCAGGGAAAAGGTCAAAGACATCTGCCCGGTAAACTCCAGTGCGCTTCAAGGGGAAAAGTAACAACAGCAATTATGCCTACACAATGGATAATACAATGTGCTGCCCCGATACAATGGGTTACATTCAACTCAAACTTGCACAGGTGCTTGCTCTCACAGAAGTTATTCAGTAGTCTTACCAGGACTTGTAATGGGAATAAGATGGCAAAGATTTGGCCCGGGATGTCAGAGACACAAGGTGAGAGAAGTGATATCTTTTGTTGGACCAACTTCTGTTTGTTGAGGGAATCAAGCTTTTGAACTAGCCAGAGCTCTTTCTCCAGGAGGCCAACTCCAGAGCAGTCTCACTTCACAGATCCATTAATTGTATGCTCATCTATCTTCCTTTCAAAATTTCTAACTAAACAAATGTAACTAGAACAACAGTGTGAGGCATGGGGGAAGCACAATCTCATATCATGAGTGTGGCAGTTCGGAGGTGAATTGTGAAAACAGCATGAAACACTTACTTATAATAAATCCCATTAGTAAACATTACCTAGCCTTCTCTGAGGCATCTTGGTATGATCAAATATTAGTTTTATATATAAACACTGTAAATTCAAGTTACAGGACTGTGGTTTAATATTGTAAATCTCATTCTCTCGTAATACTCATGTAAAGAGTGAACACAGTACAAAAAAAATTTAAAGGATTTTTACCTTATAATCAAAGCTATGGCCATGGAAATGTGCTGTATGCATGTCTACTTCATTTCCCATTCCCATCAGGTACCAGCTTACTTTATCTCCAACATGCATTGTAAGGCCTTGTAAGTTTCCAAACATTTTTCCATTAATGGCTAGAAGAAGAGGGGGAAAGAGGGAGAAACAAAACACATGTTAAATAACATCAGCAAACAAACATGTTGGGATACAATTCATTATGATCTTGGGGATAAGGATTTCAATTGGGATAACTTTTTATTGGGGGAAAAAATGAGATTGATATAAAATATTCAGTATTTAATGGGACTTAAACATGTGCTTACGTTCTATTTATATGCATATGCTCAAGCGCTGTCCTGATGTTCTTTCCTGTCTCAAGAGTTTGGGCCTAATAACTGGACATTCATTAAAGTTTGAAAAGTCACATAACACACTCAAACAAAGATCACACATTTCAGATGCAAATTTGACAGTCAGATTTCAAAGATCCATTGGAATGAAATTAGGATACGTACCGTGCATTTTATTGCTTTCAATAAATTCCTCATCTTCTTTGTCCACATTGTCTGCATTGGTAGAATAAGTTTTGATATTTTCATCCAAGTACCAAGACTCGTTTTCATCAAAAACCATAAAAAGAAGAGCAAGTTCGACTCTCTTTGGTAATAGAAATGTGGGAATATATTGCTTGCGACAGATGACAAGTGTACCTATTAATCCACTATAGATATCCTGAAAACACAAAGGAACAAAATTCTCATGGGAGCCTTATGTAAGCAGAATAGTCTCTAATCTGAATGGAATACTCAGTGTTAATAGCATTACTGACACTGAGTGGCTGTGTCTAGACTGGCAAGTGTTTTCGCAAAAGCATTTGCTTTTGCGGAAAAACTTGCCAGCTGTCTACACTGGCCACTTGAATTTGCGCAAGAACACTGACTATTTAATGTAAGATTGTCAGTGTTCTTGCACAAATACTATGATGCTCCCGCTCAGATATAAGCCCTCTTGTGCAAATGCTTTTGTGCAAGAGGGCCAGTGTAGACAGGTAAAAACTGTTTTGCGCAAAAAAGCCCTAATGGCGAAAATGGAGATCGGGGCTTTCTTGCGCAAAACCACATCTAGATTGGCACGGATGCTTTTCCGCAAAAAGTGCTTTTGCACAAAAGCGTCTGTGCCAATCTAGACGCTCTTTTCCACAAATGCTTTTAACAGAAAAGCTTTTTCCGTCAAAAGCATTTGCGGAAAATCATGCCAGTCTAGACACAGCCAGTGTGTGTTTTTTTTTTTTTTTCTGGGCATTTAGTAATTGACAATTGAACGAGGAAGTTTTTTTTTTTCCTGGGCATTTAGTAATTGACAATTGAACAAGGAAATGTCACAGATAAAGAGGAAGGTTATTCATCTAATCCTAGAGCAGCACAAGGTGAAATACAGCATAAACAGTGGCTGTTTCTTCTCTCCATATATTATAGTTAATGTTATAAAACAGCTTCCATTTTTATCCTGTTTTAACTTGCTTGTCTCTTTCCACAATTCATTAAAGAATTAACATTTTTTTTGTACTTGGTCTCCACTCAAACACATACGCAGTAACTTCTGCTTTCAGAATTTTGCTATTGTGCTCAATTTGCATGTGGAATTATGGCAGTTTTCCATGCAAATGACCAATTACATATATGCACCATTAATTCTCATCAGAATTAATGGAATCCACTCTTTTGCTTTCAAGGATTTTTAAAATGGTTGCTTTAAATATTAGTTTACCTGTACATAATAGCAGAAATGAAATGAAAATACAGGGAACTATGGTTTGTTACAAACCTGTAACTCCTTATGGAATTATGCCCTTTAAAATAATAAGTCTGTCTAAACAGCAGGATCTTTGCTTTTAGCAGAGAAAACAGAAAATGGAAGAGTGCCAAACTCCTTTTCCTTTTCACTGAAAAAGAATTTGTTTCACTACCATTAGAAATGTACCTTAACTTTATCCACAGTTGAGTAATAAACCCAAGGAATACACTCGGGATCTCCTTTCCCAGAACCAGATCGCTCAGGGATTTTCCAGACATATGTTCCTATTTCACCTGGATTAAATAGATATTAATGCATATAAAAGGTTATTCACTTTGCTCACCTCCATAATTTTATTTATTCCAATAAACTGATAACAAGTGATTCAAAGCATGTTATCAAGGATTGACCAAAAATTGATCAAGTTGATAGAGTTTCCCCTCCCACCCTTGACAATCAACATCATGCTTTGCAGGACTTAAACAACCTGGTGCATGATACAACGCATTGCCTTTCAGGAAAAGTTATCATCTACAAAGTTGTCCTGAAACAGATGGTATTTTACTTTACAGACGGTATTTTTGCAGTGAACTTCCTCTTCTTGAGTGCAGCTGTGGCTGAATCATTGTTGTTTCCCTTTTGTAGCTCCCTGAACTCTGGCACTATCCAAATTCCACCACTTCTTAGCAAAATAACTTTACATTCTATGAAGACAACAGAGGCCAAACTAACTTTTGAAATAGATTTGGCCTATCCAGTCTCTAATAAGAGACTTGCCTATACAAAAACTATGACATGTGACTGCAGGATTTGACACTGTATGGCTAAGGCCAAGTCTACACTTAAAAGCTAAGTTGACACAGCTATGTTGCTCAGGTTATGAAAAATCCGCACCACCTAGTGAATAGTTGATCTGTCCTAATCCCTAGCAAAGATAGCACTGGGTTGGTGGCAAAAGTGCTTCTTGGGAGGTGGATTAACTATGACAACAGGAAAACCCTTAACATCACTGTAATGAGTGTCCACACCAGGGCTGGACTAGAGCCTGTCAGCGGCCCAGATCTGGCTGCCAAGCTCTTTCATCTGGCCCTGCCCCCTAACGTGTTGCCCGGGAGTTGCGAGCCCTTTCAAACTATTTCTATTTAAAGGGCTTGTGCCTGCTGGTAAGCAGCTAGACAATGCATTAGCAGCTGTGGGGAAGGTGTGAGCCCTTTAAATAGAAGCAGTTGAAAGGGCTTGCGGTTCCCAAACAATGTGTTAGTGATGGGACTGGGAGCTGCTAGACCTTTCAACTGCTTCTATTTAAAGGGCTTGCACCTTTCAAGCAGCTGCTAAAGTGCAAGCTCTAAGTAGCAGGAGTTGAAAGGACTTGCCCATGCATTGCCTGGGAGCCCTAGGGGAGGCACAAGCCCTTTCAACTCCTGGTATTTAAAGGCTCCGTCCCCTTTTTGCCTGAGGCCCCACACCATCTGGAGTGGCCTACAACCACTTCAGAAATTATTGCCCATCCGTGGTCTACACTAATGTGCTGTAGCCGCTCAGCTGCAACTGTTCACTGTTGCATTTCAAGTGTAGAGGTAGCTTATGATACAGTGCAATAGCTGTAAATGAGCACTGATGACTAATTAACCAATAGTTCTATGAAAATGTTCCTGAAAGCAGTACCAACTTAGTAAAATTGCAGTGGCTGAGCTAAAGAGGTGGCTTTTGTTGTGGTCCCCACCCCATCATTAAATAGCTTTAATCTTGCTGTGAGAACAGTGGTGTAAGACAAGTGATCTGATTACCTGGCTGAGTTATCGCAGCAGTGGAACTGTCTGTTTTCACTCCATGGGCGTGTATAGAATAAGGTCTGCTGGCCAAATTCTTAAAAACAATTGTAACTTTATCTCCAACTTTTGCATGAAGCAGTGGACCTGTTGGGTTGAAAAGAAAGATGAATCTTTCCTAGCTCAAAAGCTGTAAAGTCTGCTTCTTGTGCTGTGTGAAGATGCAGCTGATGTGAGCAAGAGGTCTCTAATACCTAACCCAGGAAATCAGTCCAAAACTGGTGAATTATTCATTATGCAAACATGCAAAAAGTACACTTACTAAACCCAAATTGTGTGCAACTGTAAATGAATTAATTTCTGCTTCTATATCCTTATTTCCATCAGTCATCCTGTAACTGAACCCAACCACCTTGTTACCCTCATTAAAAATGGAGGCAAAGGTAGGTATTGGGCCATGCCTAGGTTATATTTAATCTTCACACTTTCGGAGTTTAGTGGTCCAAACTCCTGTCATCTGAAGAAGTGGGCTGTGCCCACAAAAACTCATGATACCATCTACATGTTTTGTTAGTCTATAAAGTGCTACCAGACCATTTGTTGTTTATGCTTTTTTCTTGTTCGTCAAGTTTGTTCTGAAGCCCCTTCCTATGGGTCTTTTTGCCCTGCTTGGAATGCAGGCTTTCAGCCACTTTGACTTAAAGTAATTCCAGGCCTCCTCCCTAGCCTTGATTTTTTTTTCTTCCCTAATTCCCTTAACTTTTCAGATTGCCATTTTGAAATCTGACCTTATTTTTGTTTATACTTCCATTTAGTTTAAACCGAATTAACCCTTGATTACTCAGACGAAGGCTGTTCTCTACAAACCATTCATAAGGTTCTCACTACTTCTCAAGACCAAATCCAAAATGGCATCCCTCTCTTGCTGGTTTGATGACTGTTTGGTGAAGAAGTCTGTTGGCTGTCACATCCAGGAAGAGCTGGAATCCTACCATTCTTTATAGCATTAGTTCTCTAATCTGTATCTGGGAATTTTTTCTTCCATAATGCCACAATTCCTTGAAACATTTATTCCTGTATTTTTTGGTATAAATGGGCATTTTTAGGGCTTGTGTTCTTTGTATTATGGTCCACTGAGCCCAAACTCTGGCTTTTAAATAGCTAGAGGTGGACATCTAAGGTCTACAATGGCTTTTGTTTTATTGCACCTAAACAGTTGTCCTAATTTTTGAAGGTGCTGAGCATCTCCAGCTCTCATTGAAATCCATATGGGTTTAGCTGTCTAACATTAGGCCAGATTTGAAAATAGTGCCGTATACACTTTAAATATATTGCATGAGCAGGTGAGGCCTGTTGTTGACTGGGCTAAGTCATTTTGTGTAGATTACACTTACAGGAAAGTTCAAGAAATTAAATGTATGTAATAGAATTTTTGATTAATGTGCTTGCAAAAGGGAAGTAAAAGAACAGTTTTAAAATTGTAGGATTTCAACTTCAAACATTATTCATTGTACTGAATAATTACCACACACAGTACATTTGAATCAGAAACTTGCTAAAGCTCCCATTTCTTTTTCCATAACTCATTTGAATTAGTTTTTTAATTTGTAACAGTAAAAATTTGAATGAGGCGCCAGTTGAAAGAGACTATTTTAATTTAACATATTTTTTTATGAACTCTGATCATAATAGTTATGACTTTTTTCTGATGAAAAACAAAAATTATTATTTAAACTTTTCACCCAGTATATTCTGGCGTAAAAAGTGGTCCATTCAGCTAATTAAGTGGCAGGATTGATTATGCAAAATTGGGTAGCTGTAGGTAATTGAAATATGACTTTATTTTGCACAAAAACTCATAATAGATGTGTTCATAAACTCTGACTTCTGAAGGTGTTTGCTGTAATCTCACTTATATCTATGTAAACTAAGAGTAATTATGCTCACATACTGATTGTGAGTAGAAGCAGGCCTGATGTTGTTGACTTAGGTCACTGTATTACGATACATGAACTATACATTTCTCTCAGCTCTAAATTCATTATGGCCATACCTAAAATTTCCAGATGCTGATGCTCCTCTGCCCTTTCCTTTGGAGTGCTGAATGTCCTGTCCGTGTATTCCCTATAGACCACTTTCTTGTACTTTGAGCCAATGAACTTTTCTTCTTTATTTAAAAATGGATTTCCAGGGCTAGAGGAAAGAAGACAAAATGAGGAATTCAAAAAAAGCCTCCTTCTGTGTTCCTACAACATCCTTCACTACTGTGTTGGGGCCTTGTACAGTTAGCCCTAATAAAACTACGAACACAGCTAAATGCTATACTAAATGTATCACTGAACTGGGTATTTCTACTGTCCACATTTTGTTGTTGTGCTGTGTCCCTGGCTCACAAAGAAAACACAGCCACTGGGAAGAGGCTAGAATCTCAGCAGGGATCCAAACGACAACCACCACAAAGGCTCAGATTCAGCAGAGCAGGTGAGCATTGATTGAAGTCAGTGGACCTAAATGACTTGTGTCCTTTCAAAGCTGGGTTCTTGCCTGTGTACCCAGTGAGCTGAGAAGCGAGTCACTTTGTGCGGAGTTAGACTGATACACAAGCTGTTCTTGCCAGAAGCATCTTTAGCACTTAAATGACCTCAGCTGTGGATTGCACGCAGACATTAGTGCTGGAAGTAGGGGTGGTGCTGCAGCCCCTGGCTTGAAGTGGGTTTCCATCATGTATAGGTTTTACAGTTCGGTTCAATGGCTCCGAGCACCCCACAATGCGGTGTTCCAACGCTCCTGCAAGCAGAGATAGATGCATCCCTACAGCCCATAATTAGGTGCCTGCGATACCGGAGGAAGTATCCCTGACTGTGGGTCACCATGTTACCCCCATCTTAGCGAGAGAGATTTGCTGGTATTAAAACTGTCTGGTGCTAAGCTCTCTGACACTATTAGCCATCTAAACAAATTCCTCCAGGGCTCTGCCAGCCCTTGGTTTTCTGTGGAGATTAACACTTGGGCTGTGTCTACACTGGCGCAATCTTGCGCAAGTAAACTGACATTCTAATATATGAAATCAGGGTTTCTTGCGCCAGAAATCTGACTCTCCTGCTCAGGAATAAGCCCTTTTGCACAACTGTTCTATCTGACTCTCCTGCTCACGAATAAGCCCTTTTGCACAACTGTTCTTGTGCAAGAGGCCAGTGTAGACAGGCAACATGAATTTCTTGCGCAAGAAAGCCCTATGGTTAAAATGGCCATCAGAGCTTTCTTGCGCAAGAGAACATCTACACTGGCATGGCTGCTCTTGCGCAAAAGCACATGCCAGTGTAGACTCTCTCCTTTGGAAGAGTTTTTGCACAAGAACTCTTCCACAAAAGAGTTTTTGCACAAGATCATGCCAGTGTAGACGTAGCCTTGGTGTACTCCAGGGACTGGGTACCTCAGAAGTGTTTATCCCCCTGTAGTGTCCAGTCCCTTCACAGGACACTCTCACTGATTACCAGGTTTGCTAATATACACACACCAGCTTGTTGGAGTCAACTGAGTAATAGCTCCATTATAACACCACAGCACTGTGCTCTGTTTATACTGAAAGTAAAAAAATAGGTCAACTACAAAGGTTAAGGAATATGCTTCAAATAAAACAAGTATAACACTTCACTAGATAAAAAATTGTGTCCCCTACCCCAAAGAAGCTAATTGTGTCTAAAGCAAAGTCCATAGTCTAGAACCCCTAGTCAGGTGTTCTAGTCTCTAGTGCTTTGCATACACCATGAACAAGGGGAGGAGAGATTTCCTACAATGCTTCATTTACAATTGACAGAGATGCTGTCCTCTTAAAATATCCTCAGTGAATGCTTTTTGCAACATTATAATGACCAACTTTCATGAGACACATACAAGATGCTATTTCTGTAGAATGCCATGAAAGCAATAGGCTAGGTGTAGGCTGATTAGGAGTTGCTCACAGAGTAATGCATGCTTTGCCAGCTGGCACCAATTGGCCTTTGACTCTGTAGGAGGAGCAGAGCTTAGGTGGCATCTTCCATTGGCTAGCTTAGATGGCTCTCCACCACTAGCTTTTGAGGATCTTGTCTTTAGGCACTTATCTTTTCCCATTTATTTCACAGGAAACCAGGATGCCTATTACTCCAATCTTTGTGGTTCCCAGTAATTTTAAAGGTGCCTAAAAGTTAGGCATTGCAATTCTCAATGTCACAATGCCTAAATCCTTTTGTGGATTCAGGGATAGGAAGAAACTGGCAAAGTGCTGCAAGGAGTGAGAATTGCCAGAAAACAGAGTAGTTGAATGAGAAAACAGTGAAATGTGGAGGGGGGCGACGGGAGGAAGTGAATGGAAATATGAGCAAATTAACAGATGTAAATATAAACAAACTAGCCCATCATAAGATGGGTTTTCAGGTCTCTCCTCCACGTTGGTCTTCTCTCCTGAATCTCTGGTCTCTCGCTCCGTCTCTTTCTCTCCCCTCCTTGTACTGCCTTCCCCTTTCTCTTTCAGCTCTCCTCCACCTCCTGCCTCTCACTCAGGGGACCACAGAGCCCAAACGGTCGCTTGTGCCACTTGCTCCCACGCGGCAGCCCGGCTGAGCAGTGCAGAAGTCAGCTGAGTGCCACGGCGGGAGGCGAAGTCTCCTCCCCCTCCTGCCTCTCACTCGGGGGACCGTGGAGCCCAAATGGCCGTTTGGGCTCCGCACTCCCCGTGCTACATGGGGAGTGAGGGGCCCAAATGGCTGCTTGTGCCACTTGCTCCCACGCGGTGGCCTGGCTGAGCGGCACAGAAGTCAGCTGAGCGCCATAGCAGGAGGGGAAGGGGGGCGGGGTGGTGACGTACACGGCCAGGCCCCGCCCCATGGCCATGTACGTCACTGCCCCGCCCCCTTCCCCTCCCACCATGGTGCTCGGCTGACTTCTGCATTGCTCAGCTGGGCTGCCACAGGGGAGCAAGCGGCCATTTGGGCTCCCCTGCAGTGGCCCGGCTGAGTGGCGCAGAAGTCAGCCGAGAGCCTTGGCGGGAGGCAATAGTGCCACGCAGAGGGAACAGCCAGCATTACAGAGTCACAGACATTGGGCTACTATATATATATATATGATTACATGGTGTATTTCTTTAGCCTACCCTGGAATTGAAAGCTGAATAATGTCAAACATGGTGTATCTCTTTAGCCTACCCTGGAATTGAAAGCTGGATAATGTCAATAGCCAATGAATATCCCAACCGGATGCATAGTCACACAACATCTTATAAACTTTCATAGTGAAACAGATCTGGCTAAGGGATAGCAATTCTCCTTTATAAATATATAGGAAGTAAAGAGAAGGGTAATTCTTAAAATGTTTACTATCTGAACTCTGCATGGAGCCTGGGGCTCTAAGAAAGTAGGTGAGATGTGACATGTAAGTGTTTGTGGCATTCTGTGCTTCAAAGTAGCTCCTTGGATCTCCCATATTCACCACTGTCATATGATTTCATTTGTACACATGCCATATGTATAGGAAAGGTCACGCTCTGCTGAAAACCATTGTTCTGTGAAAATATGCATCTCCGTGTGTATGAAGTTGAGATTTTGCTATATGGAGTTGTTGAAATATGTTAAGTTTGGGAATCTTCATTGCTAATACCTTAGTGACAATAAAGGGGGTGATCCATAAGTAGGTGAGTTGTAAACAAGGGATTTTGTACATAAGAGGCACAACACAATGGGATTGCTAAATCCTGTGACTCAAGGCCCAGCAGGACATTCCAGGGCTAGTTTCTTGTCCAGTCCCTCCTCCCTGCCTCATAGATAACCACACACACAAAAGATAGCTTCAGATATGTTGGTGATGGGGTTTGGGGATATTCATTATTACCTTTCCTCATGGAATTGATGCCTCTCCTGTTCCCAGGTCCTGTTTGGAGAATAGTCCCATTCTATTTCCACTGCTGCAATATAATAAGTCTTCTCATGCAAATAGAGCGATGGATTCCACCAACTGCATTTTTTCACTTTGTATTTCTGTTTCATGCCTCCAGTGTAGTGATCTGTTGTGAGGCACTCCACTTCAAAAACCCCTAGAGGGAGAACAAGCACGGAGGTGAAAAGAAAATCTGCACAGCTAGGAACCCTCAACCTGTGTCATCTATGCATAGGCACAGGAACTAGGAGGAGTGCAGGGGATGCTGCAGCACCTGGGGTCCTAGTTGCCACCCTCACACACTGAGGAGCCCCACTGCCAGGCTCATGTGCTAAGGGCTCTCTTCTACCACGCCTTAGTCCTGGCTGCCAGTCCTGCATGTCGGGGAGCTCTGATGCTGCCTCTGTTCCAGGAGTCCTGCTGTGCTTTGGTCCTAGCCTCAGCTGGTGGGAGGGGAGGGGGGGGAAAGACAGAGGTTGGATTTCAGCACTCCTACTCTTAAAGCTGTTCCCACACCACTGCACTTATATCTGTGCTGTATCACCTGTGTTGATTTAGATCAGTGATTCCCAACCTTTTTCCCAGGGAGGAATAACTTTTCATATCCCGAGGAAACCCTACCTATGAAAACATTTGCTTGGCCAGAAAAAGTTGAAAGTGGGAAGCGGAATTCAATTACTGCTAAAAAATTTTCAAGAAAATTTGTAAAGTTGTGTTTTTTTAATATGTGTGTGTGTGTGTGTGTGTGTGTGTGTGTGTGTGTGTGAGAGCTTACATTGTAAGAAAAAAATTTGGGAGTATTTTTCCTGTCTTTTTTTGTATATCAAATATCCTCCCTCTCCCACCTCACTCTCTCTTTCTCTTCTCCTCCTCTTCTTGCTTCTCCCTCTCTCCTCCTCCCCCTCCTGCCTCACACTGGCCCGGCTGAGTGCTGCAGAAGTCAGCTGAGCACCAGGGCGGGAGGCGAAGGGCATGACAACGCTCCAGGCCCCGCCCAGCATTATTTATTCCATGATTTCTTGCAGAACCCCTGATGACGGTCCACGGAACCCTGGTTGGGAAACGCTGATTTAGATTATATATGCCTTGAAGCACAGATCATAAGCTCTTGTAAGATGCAAGGTGCTTGCCTAATGGTCCTACTCACAGTAGTAAAGTTAAAAGTATAAATGTTGGCAGAACTGAGGCCTCTGATTCTGCTAAACCCCCACCACTCTCAAAAACAGGAAAACAAAGGAAGGTGCCAGTCTGTTTAGCAATCCCCAGGAGAGGAACTGCTCTCCTGGAGTCAAGCAACTTGGGCAACTAAGTATGAGAATGAATTAAGGGCCCATCTTACTCCACACAAAACAGCTGCACGTGTGGAGGTTCTCCCTCCCTTATCACTAATCCTAGACCAGTGGTTAGTGCTGGTTGCTTAGGATGCGGGAGACCCTGCTTTAGTTTTCCTCCTCTCTTCCAGAGGTCAAGAGGGTGGGGAAGATTTGACCAGGGTCTCTGATCTCTCAGGAACCTACCACTGAACTCTGGGATATTCTGATGTGGGGCTCTCCCACTTTGTTCTGGTGAAGCTCTTCCCCTATGACAAATAATGAGAGAGTGACTGGAGCAAAGGCACTGGAGCCAGCGTCTCCTCCCTTCCAGGTGAATTTTCTAACTATTGGGCTACAGAGCCATTCTCCCCCCCTCCCTCTCTCTCAGACCCAATGAACATTCCACTGTGGAAAAAAATGCCCAATAGTTTGAGATGCCTTCCAGATCTGTCTCTGCATACAACTTAGGCAGTCGAATGCCTATCTTTCTCTGGTTTGTGGATTGCTCTGGGGCTTAGGTGGGAGATACCTGGAGTGAGGAACCAGGTTCCTGCCCAGAGACAGAAACATAGGTACTGAGGGAATTTTTATCCTGAAAACTTAGACACAGAGTGAGCTGAGGAGCCTGCAGGATTTTGCTGATCACAGTGGAACCAAAACTGGAGTTTAGGCATCTAAATAACTCTGTGGATTCAGACCGAAATCTAAAACTGTTCTCAGCTTTACACTGTTCTTCAGTCATCACGTTGTGCAGTAAGCAATGCCCTGAAAAGTCGTGGTCCTCACTTTCATACTGGGGACCACTTTGGTACAGAATCAACTTCTCTTTTTCCAGCAACTCATTGCTTGGTTCAAACCGGCTTGACCCACAAACTAGGCAAAGGGATTCCACTTCCAGCTCTTCTGTACCACTTCATAATATCCCAACATCCTAGACTGGGAGTCAGAAAGACTTGCACATCCATTACCTCCTCCAACCAGGAAGACAAGGAGTGCGAAGAGTTTGGATTCCAGCTGTGTGCTGGCCTGCAGAGCTGAGTTGGTGCAGGGAGAAGTGGAGATAGCAATGTTCTCCTGGTCATGGCCAATATAGAACAGGGAAAGACTTTTGTCTGCTTGAAGTAGGTGTCTTTCCTTATGCTGCTTCTGGGAAGCAAAGCTTATACAAACCTTTCCACAGGGCATACTGTAAAAACACACTAGTGCAAAAATCTGTCACTTTGCAAAACTCTGGGAGGACTCCACTGGCTACTAGTGGTTCATCATAGGAAAACTACTGCCATGAAATTAACAATTAATTTCCCACTCTAAGCCTTTATCAGAGGCAATACCACAAAGACCTGAGTGTCCGTAGTAAAGGGGAAGTATAGAAAGGATAGTTATTATTTACCTTCAGAATCAGGACACAAAGACCTGAGTGTCTGTAGTAAAGGGGAAGAACAGAAAGGATAGTTATTATTTACCTTCAGAATCAGGCTTCATAATGGCTGTAAGAGAGGTGTGTGGAAACAGGTTTGTGGTGTCCCTTCTTGTTCCTTTAGTTAGCAAAGTATTTTCTGAGAAGTATATCCCATGGATGTCAACCTCTGATCCCAAGCCAATCAAATGCCAAGAAACAGTGTTGCCTGTACACATCTCAAGGCCAGGCTGGTTTCCATACATATATCCATTAATCGCTGCAGGAAAGTTGTAAAAGTAAAAAATGTTCCGATTAGTGCATGTAACACTTTCTCTGTTCCATCCATAAACCTGTTGTATTATGTGGTTTCCTAGTCTGACAAATGTATCATTAATGTCCTCTTAAAGTATTATGTGGTTTCCTTGTCTGACAAATGTATCATTAATGTCCTCTTAAATTGCGTAACTTAGATTGATGGCCTGGAGTAGTGTAAACTAGGCCTGAGACACTGAACAACTGTCAGCTGGGGTTAAATTGTGAAGTAGTGACCTAAAGTGTTTGAAGATGGTTTACTTTATACTGTGCATTAGGGGAGTTGTAGACTACAATGGAGTACAAACACATACTCCAACTGTAACTTAAGTGACCCTTATCAGCCATGCAGTAGATACATTAAAAAGCAATTAATCCTCCAAGAATGCTTAATATTCAGTTTGCATTAATTAGTATGCAATCATATTCTTCCTATTCAGTTACACTTTACCAATTATGATCTTGTCTCCTTCTGCAATTTGCTAGGGAGACATTTTAAATAATATTTATACACAGTTGTAGAGCAAAGAGCTTTTTACTGGTACAGTAATTCCTTTAAAAGGGTTGAACCACAGTATCAAAATGAGCTCAGTGCAGCCTCTAACTTTCTCTATAGAAACATGTAAAATTGTAATTCTTCAAACACTATAATTTACTTGAACTGAGATTAAGGTGTGTGAGAGACTGACAACATACTGAATGACATATTTGCCTATTTAGTTATAATAAAGTTATGACCTTACAGTGCATCTTGTTGGACTCCTGGAAATCCTCATCTTCCTTGTCAATGTCATCAGAATTTATTAGAAACATCAAAATGTTGTCATCCAAGTACCAGCTCAGATTCTCATCAAACACTGTAGCTAGTAGGAAAAACTCCTTGTCTACATTTTTCTGTGGATAAGAACCAGCACAAATAAAAATATAAATGCATAAATTGAAGGATAGCTTATGGCTTCTATTTGTAAATTACTTTGTGAATATAACTTACCACAAAGGAGGCATGCATAAATAGAGCCCTGCAAGATACAAAATTTGTATCTGCATCCATATTGGCAAAAATGAGCCACACATATCCACATCCATATCTGCGGATGCAGATACTGGTGGATATAAAGCAGATCGCTGTGAATTTGCAAGGCTCTATACATAAAGATGGATGGACAGATCAAAACTTTTGTCTGAGGAATTCAATACTCTCACTTCAGTACCCACTCTGTAGCTATCCACACTCTCCTGCCAGAATGTCTGATTACTGACTGGTAGGGACCATTTCCATCGGCGTGGGAAGTAAGGATACAGTAGGTGCTGCAGCACCCTCTAGATTTTGTGCCCTTTGCCAGGTCCCAGCTATTAGCCCACACCTGGGAGCCCCACTGTCACCTGTGGTCTGGGCTGATACCTTCAGAGGCTCCTGCCTGCCTGCTGCCTCTGGAGGTTCCAGACACAGGTCCTGCAAGCTCTGCTGCAGGCCCTGGGGCTCCAACCATTGCCCCCATACCCAGGGCTCTGCAGCTGCTCTCAGCTGTATCACTAGCCTAGGGCAGTGAGGGGTACAGCCGGGGTAAGGTGAGGAAGAGAGGATGCAGCTCAGCATCCTCACCCTAAATATTGTTCCAGCACCACTGACCGACCACCTCTAGCTATGAGGAAACCTCAGTATCTACTTAGCCATTCAGGTCGCGGGCCTCTCTGCTGAGATTTGCCAGCCAGGATGTCACTTGGTACCTCTAATGGTGGTGACTTTATGATGTGCACGTCAGCCCATCAGGAACGGAATTAGAACCCTCATTACACACTGTCCAACAAGCACCCATTAAACAGTGATAACCTTTGGTCACTGCTTCCCATGATCTAGAATTAGCCCATTCTCTGCTGAGTAATCCCACCACCACACACACACCAAAACCATTCTCCTACCTCCACACAAAAGTGGTTTTTAGCCTGGCAAATTTTTAAACACACAGTTCAGGAAGGGTGAGAGTGATGTAAACACTTTTTCTCCTCGATTTACCTGTTTCCCAGAGGGAAGCAGAGTTCCTTTCCTGCATACTAAGAGAGGGCCCACAAGGCCAGAGTTGGTGTCTTTGACTGAATCCGCAGCTGAATAGTAAAGCCAAGTTAAGCAATCTGGATCTTCCTGGGTGGGGCCCACATCTTCTGACACCTTCCACTCATATGTAAATGTAGAGCCAGGACTCACTTGGGAAGCAGGAGCTGCAGTGCCTGTTATAAGATCCAGCATTAAAAATCTAGCTCAATAGCTAAGCTGGTCATAAATGCAATTACTTTGATCACAAATGCATCAAAATATCCAACTGCTTGTTCCCCTACTCCTCTGGGACTTGCAGGAGTCGCCTGGTTTCCATATTTACCTCCGGAGATGGTATGGTACATGGCACCCTCATTGCCCTTGCTGTAGCTCACTCCATGAGGCTGAATGCTGAACGAGTGGCTGCCATTGTTCTTGAAGGTCACCCTGACGATGTCGCCCACTTCTGCCTTGATGACAGGTCCTAGTAAAGAGCGCAGACTTTAATGGACAGACTGTCGTGATCCAGGTAGAGCATAAAGCCAAGGGACTGAGGAAAGGTGTGTGGAAGACAAAATCTTTTCCCTCCTTGAACCCTTTGACAAACTCACTTTGCCAGTTGGTTCAGATCAGGGTGCTTTGGGATCTAGAGCTGTAGTGGATAAGAGGCCTGCAGCTGTGCCTCGCTGGAGTCCAGCACAAGCAGTAGGGTTCTAGGTTTCATGAAGGGAGAAGCTATGGACATGATGGTTGTGTGAGGCAGAGAGAGGCAACAGAGGGAGGGAAAGGAAGGCAGAGGCTTGGAAATGGAAGGAGGATAGGTACAGTGACTAGAAGGGTTGTGGAGACTTCTCTTCAACTACCATAGCCCAAGAAGGTACAGGGAATGACAAGGTAGAATCCTCTCTTTTCCATTTAATTCCAAGCAGATGTAATTCTTCCTTGGCTACAGCACATGTCACTCCAGCCCTATAATCCTTTTGCTGTCAGAGCACATCCTCTCTCTTCCAGGTATCCTGCCCAGCATAGACACAAGCTCCAGATCTACTGCTATCTCCCCCATTTAGTTCATGTATTTCTTCACTTACCCCTCAACAGCAGTAACCCAGTCAATGAAAGCACCACCTAGCCTCCATTCATTTGCTCCATGGCAGATCCCATGCACCACTTCCCTGGTTGTTCATGGAGCCAATTTAACCCTCTCAGTGCTGATATAAATTGTCACTTCTACCCTTCACCCATATTAAGCCTGTAGCGTTTATAAAGCTCTGCCAGTCAAACCAGTCATATTCAAGGGGCTTTCAAATGCTGCAGGCTCAGAGAGGTAACGAACTCCTCCAGCTTTGCCTTACATTGTTTTAAAGGGTCTCACCTAAAAGTCCAAGATGTTCTTCCTCAGGGAGCCTTTTCTTCTTCTTTGTGAAGGTGTCATCTGTGTACTCCTTATAAACTGCTTTTTTATAAGAGCCACCAATTCTTTTTTCATTTTGTTCAAAAAATGTCTGAGATTCACTGGGCAGAAGAAATTTGACGGAAAAAAAACAACTTTAATAATCACAGCAATGCTCTGCTCTTAGTGCTTTCATCAGTAGGTCTCAAAGGGCTTTATAAAGGAGCTCAGTACCATTTCTATCTCACAGCTGGGGAAAATGAGGCACAGGGAGGTAGGGTGACTTGCCCCAGGTTACCCAGCAGGCCAGGAGCAGAAATAGGAATAGAACTCAGGTCTGCTGAGTCCCCCCTGTAGTGCTCTACCTCCAAGGTAACAGTATAGCCAGATAAAGCAATAAAAGGAATTGTGGGCAGAGAGGGCCAACAGCTTCTGGAAGCAAGGTGTGTGGGGGGCCAGCTCTGCACCCCAGAAGGGACAAGGCCTTGGATGGAAGGGGTGGTTCCAGGGCAGCCAGCCCTAAGCCAGTGGCAATTTAAAGGGGGTAGGGGCTCCAGTCATTGCCTCTGCAGCCGCCGCTTTTATTCACTAGGCCTTAGGGCAACTGATCCCGTTGCCCCCATGCCCATCAGTGGCCCTGATCATAGGGGATGACTGCTTTTATTCACTAGGCCTCAGGGCAACTGACCCCGTTGCCCCCATCCCCATCAGTGGCCCTGATCATAGGGGATGCAGAAAAAGCCTAGCAGGCCTATACATTAAGTTCTCCATAGCATGTCTCTTTTATGAGATCCTGCCTTGTTACTCTAATGCACAACGTGTATTAGAAGATCCACGAATAATAGTTTCTGGCCAAAGCTTTGAAATCTATATTCTGGTTTTAGGAAAAAGATATTGTAATTAAGAGTTATACAGGAACACAAAGAGAAAGAAAACAAAAACAATCAAACAGTTTGCAGATTGCATGAAAGCTTACTTTCTGATTAAAAAAAATTATCTTTTTCATTCAATGATTTCACAGCTATTAATTAAGCCTCAGCCCAGGGAGAGAACAAAATGGCATTAAACCCATTTGATAGATGAAGAATAGAGATGTTAAATGACTCAAGTAGGTCTTAATTAGCAAAATCAGATATAGAAGTAGGGCTAGATTCTCAGCTGGTATCTTATCTTCTCACTTCAATAGACTTATGACAATTTACACCAGCTGAGGATCTGGCCGCCTTTTCCCTTCTCTTACTCCTTTATACTGATGGATGGAACCCTGATGTTGTCAATATATGGTAATACAACATTTTAATGTGGTAGTTAATAGTACAATGAAACTCACTTCAAGGTCTCAAGGGAAGTAACAAGCATAATTCTTGGGGGCTATATCTTGCAATCAGTGTTTAAGAAGCACTGAAAACAAGGGGGATTTTTCCTTTAAAATTAGTGGCACATAATGGCTATGTATATTTAGCATGTTCTAAATCTTTTGCAGTAAACAAAGCCTGTTCACTTATAATCTAATATAACTTTTTTTAAAAAAAATTTAAGGCATATTTACCTGTCAATAATTAGTTGTTGTCCTGTAAAATGGTTTACTGCAGATGGACCATAGTTCCAGATAATTTCTTCAGCTGCAATGTAGTAATGTCTTATATTTGTATACTCATTGTGATCTGTTGTAGGTTTTTTACAGTCCTTTACTTCAAAAATGACCTGCATTCCACCTGGAGGAGAGAGGGGGGGGAAAAGGGAGATGCAATGTACCCTAAAAAGAGATGGAGGGGATCTGTGAACCCTGTTTTTTCTTCTCTCATTTATAATTATTTGTTTCCTTCTCCTGAGGCTCATTGTTGCCCCAGATACAAATCATAGACAAAAGCAAGCAACATGAAACACCACACCCAAGACAAATTAGTGAGTAGTATGCAATGCAGGCTGGCATGTGGTGATAAAGGATGTCTTTGTTTTATGACGGTGCAGTTCTTATTAGTGACATTAGGGTTGAGTGAAACCAGCCTCAGAGACAGCCTGATATCCTTCAACCAAGGCAAAATGTTATTAGACTGGCTCTGCTTTTGCTCAGAACTTAATCAGTGACTCATTCATGAAATCCCTAGGCCTCCTTTAAACTAGAAACAATCCATAAACTCTCCTCCTGGAGATGTATCGTATACCAGCAAAATAACTTAGACCTAAGACCAGTTCTCTGAATGAAATAAGGACTTTTTTTTGCTATCTACACTAGAGCTTTTACAGCCATAACAACCTCAGTTAGAAGTCTGAGGAGTTGTTTGTTTTTCTTTTTCTTCACTTATGTTAGCAAAACCTTTAAATCTAGACAAGGCCTTGGATGGGACAGAAGTACAGGCAGTCCCCAAGCTACGCGGATCCGACTTATGTCGGATCCGCAGTTACGAACGGGGCTTTTCTCGCCCCAGAGGATGGGAGCGGTGGGACGCCCAGATGCGCCGCGGTCCGCCGCCCCCGTCCTCTGGGGCGAGAAAATCTGCTCCCCGTCTCCCTGGCCTGGAGGGCGGCGGGGGGCGCGC